ATATATATATATATATATATATATATATATATATATATATATATATAAAAAACACACATTTATTTAAACATTTGTAAGGGTATATGTATGTGTGTGAGCATATACACTTAACGCCTTTTTTTTGCACGTTTAACACACATTCTATAATTGTATACTGAAGGAAAAAGAAAAAAAAAGACTTTGTATTCAAAGAGAATTAATTTAAATATCTCATTTTGGGTTTTAAAAAAGTAGTGCATGATTTTTTTGGGGTTGTTTTCAAACATTTTTCTGGGATTGTGGAGACAAAAGGTTGGGTACATTTTATTTACATTTTATATATAAATTCTAAGGCAGCACGGTGGCGCAACTGGTAGAGCTGCTGCCTCTCAGCGAGCAGGTCCCTGGTTCAAACTCCGGTCCAGGGGCCTTTCTGGGTGGAGTTTGCATGTTCTCTCCGTGCATGCGTGGGTTTTCTCCGGGTCCCACAGACCAAAAACATGCATGTTAGGCTGATTGGTAACTCTAAATTGTCCCTAGGTGTGAGAGTGAATGGTTGTTTGTCTCGTTTGCCTCTATGTGGCCCTGCGATGGACTTGCGACCCGTCCAGGGTGTACCCCGCCCCTCGCACAGTGATTGCTGGACATGGGCACCAGTGACCCCCGTGACCCAAAAATGGAACAAACGGGTAAAGAAAATGGATGGATGGATGAATGGATATAAATTCTAACAAAATGTTCATTAAGTGTGACTGAGGATGGTTGTTGACTGTTTAATATGTAAACCAAACAATGCTGGAATGCAAATAGAGGGGGTGAGGGAGGGCCTGGGGGTCAGAAAATTTTGAATAAAGTAGATGCCATTTCCTGCATTCTGGTGTATTTTAGCAGGTGGTTAAACATCTACGTTTATCTACATAAGTCTCTCTCCTTGTTTGAATAGAACACGTCCTAAACGTCGTCTCCCCCCACCCCCACCCCAACACACACACAAATGGAGTACTATCATCATTGCCACTACCTTCATGTGCTTCATTTCTCGGTTGTTCAATTGTACAATGAGAAGACTTTTTAAATTTTTTTTATTTTTTTAATGAAAGTAAATTGGACTGGCTTTTCAACATTTTGATTGCTGTTTTTTTTTTTTGTTTTGACAAGTTGGCGCCGTTGTTTTGAAACGTGATGTACGTCACGTGATTACCCATCAAACATTTCTCTCGCATTTTTAATAAATAACTAAAATTTTTTTAATGACACACTTAAACTGTAAAACTGATTTGCAATTTAGTTGTGCTATTTATTTATACGTATTTTCGTGTTTTAAATTAAATTTCCCATGATTGTACTTTTAGGGGTGGAGATTTTTTTAAGGGTAAATGCGGAAATGCTTACTTGAAGGGGCAACTCTTATGAGATATTCGAAAGATGGTGAGTGGCTGTTATGTTTAAAATTGGTGTTTATGCAAATATTTTCAGATTACATGTCCAATATAGGTTTAATTCGTTCAAAGCAGTCAATTTTGTTCATAACTTTATCATTAGTAAGCCCGAGAGTTACCGGATCCAAGCAAGCAATTACCGGAACGCACCCTGTTAAAATAAGAGAGTTCCCAGAGCCTGTTCTGGCTCAAATTAAGCACTGGTTGTTGGTTTATTTTGTTTTTATGTGGCCCTGTGATGGACTTGTGAAATAAATGGATGGATGGAATTTTTTTTTTTCTTTAGTACCTTATAATCACAGGAGAGCTCAAGGGCTGGGACAAGAACAGCAAGTTGCGTTGTTTTAGTTTTTGATTTCATCAATGTCTTTTCCTGGATGTGTCAGCCTGTCACCATTTCCAGACTATCTAGAAGACCATAACGTTGATATCTGAGCCATTTGA